AGGTTTTCGGTCGATATAGATAAGTGATGTCAGTTATATATTTTCTCTGATTAAAAAGAGTCGCGTTACGGATATGCTTTTGATCTAATTATCTGGCTATTACGTAAAGTCTTTTACCTTATAATCGAGTCAAATCTAAAAACTATAAAACTTGAACTAAATATGATTTTTCTACGGCATTTAAAAAAGTCCAAAAGAGTTATCAAAATCAATTGTATTTTAGAATCTTTACATTTTAAAATGCGTTATGTAAACTAGTAAATGAAAATATTAAAATATTTATGGACTGGCTTTTGTTGAATAATTTCTTATTAATATCAGTTTACTAGATATGATGCATAAGTCATATCATTTGATAAATATCATTATATTGTGATGTATGTTGATATGTAATCAATAACAATTGCGATATAATTTTCCTATCATAATATTTTGATGAAAATTTGATTTTTATTATATAAATGTTTAAATTTGATTTTTGTATAAACATCTTTCAGACAACAAAGAAAAATCTTTTTTTCAATTTTCCTTTTGATGTATTGCCAAAATTAAAAAAATGTTTGATATTCGTGGAACAGAGAATTTCACAATTCAACGAAAACGTACGAAATATGAAAAAGAAAAGATTTAAGAATTCCATTTATTTGAACCGGTCACCACTGAAGACCACCAACAAAATATTCTTTTAATTTTTAGAATTACTTTCTGCAATTGTTTATTTTCAGATATCGAATTGTTCTTCTTTTAAAAATCAAATTTATTTTCGATTCCATTGACTTCCACCAAATCTTACTTCCTTTACTCTTTTTATGTTAGCTCTTCTTCTTTTGTCCTTGAAGAGTCTATAACTCAAAAACCTCATAAGTCTCTTTCTTGTATCATTCTATTCGCATCAATTTCCACTTAGTTTTGCCGTCTTCTTTGGAGCTCGATCGTCGCCGGAGATCTCTGAGACGGTGACAGTAATCTCCGGTGATCTCGGCGGCTTAATGTCGACCAAGCTCAATATTATCCTTGGCCTGATTTTCTTCACCGTTTCATCATTTTCCGGCGACTGTAGAACTCTTTCCGAGAAACATAAGCATAACTCTTCATCTCTTTACGGGTTTAATGTCCAAGATCCGATGCGTTTCAGTTCGGTTTCTTCTCCCACAAGCAATGATTGCGGTTTCTCCTCCACAGAAAATGATCCTGCCAAAGATCATACAGGAGAATCGGTGAAGCTTCAGTTAAGGCGCCGGGAGATTAAACGAGGAACAAAGAGAACAACACATTCAGCTGTTGATCTCAAAATCCAAGACCTCACAAGGATTCAGACGCTTCACGCACGAGTCAAGAAAACGAAGAACCAGACATACGAGAAGGCGAAGAAGAAGGTTACCTCGAATAGTACTCCAGAGGCTTTATCGGGGCAGCTGGTGGCAACGCTTGAGTCCGGTATGACGCTTGGTTCTGGTGAATACTTCATGGATGTGCTTGTGGGCACACCACCAAAACACTTCTCGTTGATTCTTGACACAGGGAGTGACCTAAACTGGCTCCAATGCCTTCCCTGTTACGATTGTTTCCAACAAAACGGTGCGTTTTATGACCCGAAAAAGTCGGCTTCATTCAAGAATATAACATGCAACGACCCTAGATGCAGCCTCATCTCATCACCAGAACCTCCAGTACAGTGCGAATCGGATTACCAATCATGCCCTTATTTCTATTGGTATGGAGACAGATCGAACACGACTGGAGATTTCGCGGTTGAGACCTTCACCGTTAATCTCACGACCACCGAGGGAGGAAACTCAGAGTACAAGGTGGAAAATATGATGTTTGGGTGTGGCCATTGGAACCGAGGTCTCTTCAATGGTGCTTCAGGTCTGCTTGGGTTAGGAAGAGGACCTCTTTCGTTTTCTTCTCAGCTTCAGTCTCTCTACGGACATTCCTTTTCCTATTGCCTTGTCGATAGAAACAGCGACACCAATGTAAGCAGCAAATTGATATTTGGAGAAGACAAGAAACTGTTGAACCATCCAAATCTAAATTTCACTTCTTTTGTGGACGGGAAGGAGTATTCTACGGAGACATTTTACTATATACAGATCAAATCCATTCTAGTCGGTGGCGAAGCTCTAGACATACCTGAAGAAACATGGAACATATCATCAGATGGTAGTGGTGGAACCATTATTGATTCGGGTACAACCTTAAGCTATTTCGCAGAACCTACATACGAGATCATCAAAAACAAGTTTGCAGAGAAAGTGAAAGAGAAGTACCCGGTGTTTAGAGATTTCCCGATCCTTGATCCTTGCTTCAACGTGTCTGGCGTAAAGAAGAACAGCATCCAGCTACCTGAGCTCGGGATAACTTTTGCCGACAGCGCTGTTTGGAATTTCCCCGCAGAGAATTCCTTCATCTGGTTAAGCGAGGATTTGGTTTGCTTGGCGATTCTAGGAACTCCTAAATCCGCTTTCTCAATCATCGGAAACTACCAACAACAGAATTTCCACATACTCTATGATACAAAGAAGTCTAGGCTAGGCTTTGCACCAACAAAATGTGCTGATATATAACTTCTTGTAGAT